CAGACCAGATCTTACTTATGGCATTCAGCAGTTAAGTCAGTTTGTTAACAACCCTTGCCAAATCCATTAGGATACAGCAATTCATTTGCTTAAATATTTGAAAGGTTGCCCTTCAAAGGGGCTGTTTTTCCCTGTTCAGGATGATTTGTCCTTAACAGCTTTTTGCGACGTAGACTGGGCTTCTTATGTGGATACTAGGAGATCCCTTACTGGTTTTTGCATCTTCTTAGGAACTACTCTCATTTCTTGGAAGACCAAGAAGCAAACTACCGTCTCGAGGTCCACTGTCGAGGCAGAGTATAGGAGCCTTGCTGCAACAGTTTACGAGCTTCGCTGGATCAGCTATGTCCTTGCTGATTTTCTGATCACGCTTCCTCTACCTATTCCGTTGTGGTGTGATAATAAATCTGCCCTTCACATTATAGCTAATCCAGTTTTTCACGAGCACACTAAGCATCTCGAGATTGATTGTCACATCGTGCGGGACAAGTTTAAAGAAGGTTTTGTTCTTCCTCAGTTCATCTCTTCCTCTCATCAACTTGCGGACATTTTCACGAAGGCACTGTCTCCTCCTCAGTTTCTTCTCCTCACTGCCAAGCTGGGTCTTAGGGATCTTCACTGTTTGCCAGCTTGCGGGGGGGATGAAGAATAATATCTTTTCTTTATTCTTTTTTTCCTTTCTCCTTCACGTGTATTTTTCCTTATTTTTTTGTTAGTTAAGTTTGTTGTCCAGGTGTCACGGTTTTATTGGTTGTTGTCTTGTATAAAATCTTGACTATCACTATGTTGTTTTTCCTTTCTCCTTCACGTGAATTTTTCCTTATTTTTTTGTTAGTTAAGTTTGTTGTCCAGCTGTCACGGCTTTATTGGTTGTTGTCTAGTATAAAATCTTGACTATCACTATGTTGCCTTCACTTTTAGATGAAATAATATTTTAGCAGAATTAGCAGTATTTTTAGCTGCTCAAAATCCTTTTCTCGTTTTACAACAGTAGTGCCTATAAATTGTTACAAAATGAGATTGTACCTGATGTTGTCTCTAGCACATTGATAGCATAAAATTAGCGGAATGGGTTTGAAGGCTTGATATTCCCCCTAAGGTGTGGATTATCGTAGTTAGAACCGAAGAGTGATTGCTAATGCCTTGTTCAAAGCTTATATACATGTGCATTCGTTTCATCAAACATTCATACCTTGTATATTGAGGTATATGTTATGGTCACTGTTGCTATATACCCGCAAAGGGAGTACAGTGATCGTCGAGTGTGCCTATTTTTGCAATTGATGTATATGTTATGGTCCTTGTTACTAGATTCTTTGCAATTTTTGTCAACCACCGATCAAGTGATTTGAATTAACATAATGATTCTTGTTTTAAAAAAAAGTTAATCTGTCAAAAGGGATGAGATTACAAAGATTTGAAGCATTCAATACGAAAATACTTAATCATGGTGTAAACAAGAAGAGGACAGAAATGTAGGGTTCTTAGTGGAAGACGGAGGAGAAGAGACAATAATGTAAAGAGGGAATAATTGATTAGTGGACAAATAGCTTAATATCAGTAGTAGCAGTAGATGAGCACAGGAGCTATGATTCCGTGCCCCAAAAACAAACACTTACTCTCCCAACCCCACTCCAGGCCAATCATCCATCACTACACTACACAACACAGCCTCGATTTGATCGTTCATTTATCTTTCTTTGAATTCTCAACCCTCTCTCTCCCTCCAGGACGAAATATTTCTCTATTCTCTTAATAAATTGAGGTGACGTCCTCCAAGTTTTCGTGAAAAAAAAGTCTTTTACTCTTATACAGTGTAGAGATGGACGGATTCACGTACGTATTCTCGATGAAACTGAACCCTAATGCTAGGTTTAAACCTAATTCTTGAGACTGTAATATGGACTAAATTCTTCCTATACTAGAGTGAAACCGGAAGATCAAATTGGGGATGATGTTACAAATTCTTGAAATTACGATAGAAATGAATAGTGAATAATTTTGCGGTAAATACTTAAAAATATTTGACTATGAGCATTAAGTTATAATGTTTCCCACTCTAGTTGGGAATAGTCACAAAATTAAATTATATCTATTGAGTCACTGCATAAGTGAAAGATCAGATGGCTGCAATTAAGCTAAATGTAGGTCGTCACTTATACTCCTAGGCAAGTAGAAACCGAGTTTCGCCACTTCCAACTTCATTTATGAGGCGATGAGGCTACAAACCCTTATCTTGATCACATTTATTTCGAGGAGTTGAGAGCACAACCAACGTCTCAACGTTGAAAACCACCTAAGCGACATAGCTCAATGCGGAATTATTACCTCTCTTATTTGATAAGAGGGAACCCAACCTTTAGCCACACTAGATGGATCTCCATAGTTCAATGCACTGGCGGACATGGGGCCCTATGGTCACGTGACCCCCAAACTTTGAAATTTTATTTTTTGGTGAAGACATGTTTGGTATTGATTGAGATTTTAACTTTAATCTAAATTAAAGTTAACAATTAATTTTAATAACATATTTAGTGGGATTCACAACTTTTTAACTTTTATCAAAATTTATTAAAAAATTGATTTTAATCTCCACCAAACAAGAGCAAATTCACAATAAATTTACATTTTTTTTCCTTCTCTTACCCTCTCTCTCTCCTTCATGACTTTTATCCAAATTTTAACCCTTCAAAGTTTTCAAAATTTATCTATAATTTCTTTACAAATTATCACATCTATTACAAATCTTCACTTCCTAATCAAATTTTCAACTAATTAAAAACTAAATTGCATTTTCTCTTATCAAATTGTGCATATAGAATGTGTATGAAATGATTGTGTCAAATTTGATTTATATTTAACGAATTGTATTTATTTGATTGATTAATGGTTATATTTTTTCCTTCGATTACTTGAATTAATTGTTTTAATTGAATATTGTTTATATCAAATACACTATAAATTCTTTAAACGAAAATATGTATTTTCTTGTAATGAGTAAAACATTAATAAAATGATTATTTGAAATCAAACGAATGAAAATGATGAGAAAAATATCAATGAAGGAATGTGTTTTAAATGTAAATCAGTGTTTTTTCGAGTCAGTATGAATCATTAAAAAATTAAAAAAACAATGTATTTGTTCTATACACAGTTTGATTGTGCCACCAACTTAAAATATCTGTGTCCGCCCCTGGTTCGATGTAATTGGGGCTCAAATCCTAATACCTTGTTCAAGTTATAATTTGACTCGTTGAGTCATGTTGATTTGATTGACGTTTCCGCAAAGGGCGAGTGGAGTCATATCCCCTTTTTACCTAGGATTGTGTATGAGAGGTCATAGACCTATGGTGGGCTATAATGTGACATTGAGCTTGACTCGTGAGCAGCGGAGATATGGTTGTGTGCCAAGTATCTAGAGAGTCTCGATTACATTCATTTGCTTATAAAATATTCACACTCGGTTGCCATTTAAAGACAATTGCAAGTTGATAATTTTCACTCTTGATTAGAAATACAAATTTTACTTCCGCATTTCTTCTCCATATATTGTTCATTACATCAAATCATTTGTTCATTTATTTGCTTAAGCAGCAGAGCACGTATGGTTGCAGTCTCAACCATCTTGCTCGGTGAAGTCTTGATTTTATGTTTGTAATGTGTGTTCAAGTGTGCAGGTAACGTACATGAGGAAGAGGGAGGAGGCTAGGTTGTTACGACATTTTGACAAAAAAGGTAGTTATACTGTTCGTAGTGCCTATAAATTGTTACAAAATGAGATTGTTCCTGATGTTGTCTCTAGCACATTGATAGCATAGAATTAGTGGAATGGGTTTGAAGGCTTGATATTCCCCCTAAGGTGTGGATTATCGTAGTTAGAACCGAAGAGTGATTGCTAATGCCTTGTTCAAAGTTTATATACATGTGCATTCGTTTCATCGAACATTCATCCCTTGTATATTGAGGTATACATTATGGTCACTGTTGCTATATACCCGCAAAGGGAGTACAGTGATCCTCGAGTGTGCCTATTTTTGCAATTGAGGTATATGTTAAAATAATGCTTCTTGTTTTAAAAAAAGGTTAATCAGTCAAAAGGGATGAGATTACAAAGATTTGAAGCATTCAATACGAAAATACTTAATCATGGTGTAAACAAGAAGAGGACAGAAATGTAGGGTTCTTAGTGGAAGACGGAGAAGAAGAGACAATAATGTAAAGAGGGAATAATTGATTAGTGGACAAATAGCTTAATATCAGTAGTAGCAGTAGATGAGCACAGGAGCTATGATTCCGTGCCCCAAAAACAAACACTTGCTCTCCCAACCCCACTCCAGGCCAATCATCCATCACTACACTACACAACACAGCCTCGATTTGATCGTTCATTTATCTTTCTTTGAATTCTCAACCCTCTCTCTCCCTCTTCCTGCTTTATAAAGAGATAAGAGACTCTAGTTTGCCAGTAATGGCAGTGTTTCAGTGGCAGTGCAAGAAAAAAGAGAGAGAGTTTTCATTGGGAAGGTAAAGCTTTACACCACATGGCTCGCTCGAAGATAACACGGCCACCCCTCCTTGTACCTCTATAAAGATCGCGTGCTCCCTGATAATTTTTCTCACTCACTAATTTTATTTCATTTTGTTGTTTCTACGTAGATAGATGGATAGAGGGAGTTAATGCAATTTTATTACCAGAAAATAGAACACCCCATTTCCAGAGGGAAAAAACCCTGAACAGATTACTTTTTCAGACCTCCCATTAAAACCCTTCATCAACTGACTACAACTATTTAGAATTTTCTGTACAAAGGCTGAAATCAGTAAGCATAAAAGTCGGGAGACCACTGCATAGGAAACATTCAAAAAGAGAGGAGTTGCTTATGCGTGTGTATAAGAGATAGAGAGAGAGAGAGAGAGAGAGAGAGAGAGAATACTTTTTAAGGTTCTTATATATAAGGTTAAAAAAAAAAAACAGAGGAAACAAACGGCAGAGATTGAAAATGGAGGGTGGTGGCGGTTCCAGTATGATATCTTTTGGAGAAAACAGTAATGGGCTGTGTCCATCGATGATGATGCCGACATTGACTTCTCACCCCAATCCTCGTGGAGTCAGCAGCAATACGCTATTTCTTCCTCTTCCTCTCCCCAGCAATCAAGACTTAAATCGACACAACGGCGGCTCTTCTATGATGATTGAAGAAAATTACAATAGTACGAGCACTGGGTTTTATCTTATGGAGAATAATAGCAACAACGATGGAGAAAGCTGCGTTTTCAAAGCAAATATCATGGCTCATCCTCATTACCACCGTCTCTTGGCTGCCTACGTTAATTGTCAGAAGGTGAAAATAATGTCCATATTTTTGTAAAATGAACTTGTAAAGAATACCTACGATCCATGTCTCTTTTTTGGCTCCACGAGGAACTCAAGAGTCTAATTATGCATCTTCGTCTTGTAATATGCTCCATAATTCCTCACATTCTTTCAAGAATTTGAGTGGTGATTTAAAAATATTTATTTTTGATGCAAGTGTATTAGTATGTGGGTGCAGATTGAGCATCCCTAATTTTTTTAATACTATACCACGGCAATTACTCTTGAATGAAGTCAAAAGGAAAAAAAGTACGTAAGAAAAGCTTGTAATAGCGATGCTGTTAGAGAGGGTTTACTGGGTTATACCCCTTGTTAGAAAATTCCGAGGAACTGATTATGCGGGACTATTTATGCAGATAGGAGCACCACCGGAAGTAGTGGCAAGACTTGAGGCAGCATGCGCGTCAGCTGCCGCAATGGGAAGCCAATCAAGTGGTGTGGGTGAAGATCCGGCGCTCGACCAATTTATGGAGGCTTACTGTGAAATGCTCATAAAATACGAGCAAGAACTTTCTAAACCCTTCAAGGAAGCCATGCTTTTCCTATCAAGCATTGAGTGTCAGTTCAAAGCGCTTTCGCTCTCCTCTGATACTGGTGATGAACTCTCTCTCGAACTTTCTTTCTCCCTCTATCCCTCAATGGCTGACATTTATATATATGTTCTTCTCAGATCTCACTGTTTCTTGATTTTGTTAGGTATATTTTATATGTTAGACCTGCATGTGCAGGTTTCGAAGAGGGATATTTGATTTACTGTTGTTCGATGAACTTGTTTGCAGATGCATATCATCCATTGATTTTTTTTTTCTTTTTTCTTGTTCAACTTCTTGCTTGCTTTGGGATTCTTTTTGCTGTTTCTTTAGCTTTGACTATTAAACGCGTGAAACTGTTTCAAGGGTTAGCAGTGGGTTAAATTGTTAAAGTTATAATAATGACTTTTATTTTGATTTATTCTCGATATTTGTATATAATAATGCATTGCCTTTTCGACTCCTCACATTGTTTATTCTAATTTTAGAAATATACAACATTTTTAGTACTCTTACTATTTTTATAAAGTTGGATACTGCTACTTAGGTAACATTTGGTGCTCATTCAACCAAATAAACAGTGAAATTAACACTGATATTTAGCCTAACTTGTCTGCTGTTTAGGGTTTACAGATTGAAGAAAGCAAAGTTTGACGGATTAGGTTGAAAAATCTCAGTAATTTTTTTTTTAAATAATAACCTTTGAGTTTTATTGGTAGACTCTCACTTGTGGCGGAGGAAAATCGTGGTTACAATTAATTACGAAAAGCGAAAAGAATGCAAATTACATTTATTTAACCGAATGCAACCAATTGTAGAAACAGGGAAACTGGAGATTGATTCTAAGGCCTTGTATGGAGAGATTAAAATCGGATTAAAATTGAAAATATAGTCGTTATTGTTGACTTTTATTAGACGAGTGGGACCAATAACGGCCATATTTGCAATTTTAATTGGCTTTTAATCCCTTTCGAACGGGGCCTAAGAATCTGAACGACCTTGAGATCCAAGACGCACTAAAGATTCTGCCACCTGGTTTGCTTCTCGATAAATATGTGATATATCAATAGATATAACATGAGCAAGCTCTAAAATATCCTTCCAAATTAGTCGAATAGACCAAGGTATGTTAACATGATGATGAAACCAATGAACCACCACATTAGAATCTGTTTCTATGGCAATCCTGTCTAGTGGTGCTTGATGAACTTCTTTGACTAATCATTTCCCACTAACTATTGAATTTGATGGATCTTTGGTGTTCCAATTTTTAGGCTGCTAGCCTACGCGTTAATTTGTACTTTATGCCAAATTAACCTTTCATCTTATACCCTATGCTGGAGGTATGATCATAATATCTTTGTTGCCGCTACATTTCTTTACTGGAAGACTTTAATTTCGTTCAATTTAATGGAGACTTCTGCAACGCAAGAAGAGAAGTGTGTCTAACTCCTTAGGCTATGTATCAAAATATCCATTAAATCAAACAGTTGATCAAGTTGTTCTTGGATGTAATTATCAGCAGAAGCACAAAATTATTTTTGTAGGTAAAAAATTATTGCCTGAAAGTATGTGGATTTCCCATTATTCAAGTCATTATATTTGTTCCATTTAAGGTAAATTGGTTAGTTTTTTCTGCTGTGATTCATTCATTTTTATTGTGTTTGCATGAATTACCCCATATGGCTTACGAAAAAAAGATTATTTCTCTTTCAAATATTTTACTAACAATTTTATTTTTGACTTAAAATGCCCATTTTGTTAATCAAGAGGAGACACCTCAACGTAGCTTCACAAGTAATTATCCTATGTTCCACATCAGCATCTTTGTGAGACATTATAATTAATTTTGTCAACTTTACATAGAGAGAGAGAGAGGCCTAGAGGTGTAAAAGAAATCCTCGATACTCAGTAGGATTAGAGATGCTTCTATGTAGGTAGATCATTACTAATTTAGGTACTTTATTGATCGAGAAACAGCGATGAAATATTTGATCAGGTTTTATGGTATATATATAGTGATATAAGACAAATTTCGGAGATCTCAAAGATTACTCATCATAGACTCTTTATAATATATTTGTCGATATGATTCCTTTGGCCTAATTTTGCATTCCGCCTTTAGAAACCTTGCTTAAGTACCACGAAATGGATAGAGTTTAGCAATCTGTGTATAAGCCTCACCTCTAAATTTGTGGCGGGACTGATGTAGAGTTATTAACCTAAGGGCGACTTTGTGGAAAGAAAGGCTAAATGCTCGTTGGCTTTTCCCGCTTAACTCTTACTGACCATAGGAAAGTGTAGACTACTATTCTTACAATGAAAATTAACTTGTAATTGATTTTTTCTATGTTCATGGGATGCAAATGAAGATCACTTTTGCACTAGGAGTGTAGTGTTATTTTACTACTTGTCCATGGCCTTGACAGTGGAATAGCACTGTGAATGTTGAAAATGTCCAGGTAAATCCTTCTTTCACTAAAGAATTTATTGACCACTTAATCCAGAAGTAGAGGTAGATGAATGACATTAAGGATATTTTTGTTCAAGCGAAAAGAATGACATTGAGTTCTAATTTTGAAAATTAATTCAAGTGAAGAGAACGAGAGTGTTTGACGCTTCTCATTGTTGCCACCGACTAGCCATGTTTGTTTATGCTCTCATTGACTATTCACCTCCACCAGGAGTCTAGGACATCAGCAGGTTGTTGTCTTTGCGAATCTTGTGTTCGGCCAATAGTTACTGGCAACCACTCCGTTTAGCCAACAGCTACCTAGTTGATGTCTACAATTGGAAGGTGGTACCTCACAGACAGTAGGTCTATGATAGTTTGCCGGTAATTGGTGGTTGGGTCGATTGTGCTATAAATTGTTGCAGATGTTTTGCTATCCGAGAAACGGATTCTCTTCTATATAAACTTGGTTTTCCTTCATTTGGAAAAATATTTACAATAAACAAAGTTCTCTAGGATGCCAAACATTACAAATGTTTTCAAAAAATGCATTTTGCAATAGTGTTATGATGGAGAATGCTAGAAACCCTTTGAGGAAGGGCAAAACAAGCAGGAGAAATGGAGGCTTCGGGTCTAGAAGGATTTGATGTTGATCATATTTTACAAAAGATGATTATAAATCTGATCCTATTAGAGCACATCAAGAAGTACTTGGTACTGCAATCATTAAAGGAACAGGACCTATTCCTAAGGTTGCTCTTGGTTTGGAGCTATTGTCTAGTCCTTTCCAACTCCATTGCTTGCTCCCTTTGTTCTCTAGAGTAAACTATATGTACATTTGATTGACCTTATCATTTCGCCTCATACCACTGACCACATCACATGGGGATAATTCCCACTTTTTATCTATAGCATTATGCTCATTCTCTATGAAAGTGGATTGAGACCTAATGAGCCTTTTGTCTAAAAACTGTTTTCTTGACTCAGATTATTATTCTATATAGTTTGTGAATTGGACAATCGTGTTAAGTTCAAATATTTAATACTAAAAGAGATTTTTTTTTTTTTTTGCTCGAGTTGAATATTTTTATTCCAACTAATTTTGATTTTATGTTTTTCAAAAGAAAAAAAAAGATTGGATATAAAACTTTCGAAGGAAATTGCTGTGTGGTTTGAATATTGCCTTTTTAAAAAAGCTGCCTAATTATGAAGTTCATACTGTTTTAGGATTTTGTTTTTCAAAAGATAATTAATGTTGCATGTGCTAGCAATATATTTGTTCCAATGCCAAAATGTTTATGCTCCATTTGTTTTGTCAGTGGCCTATGGCGAAGCTGCTGATATAAATGGATGTTTTGGAGAAGAGTTTGATGTGAATAATCCTCAAGCAGGAGATGGGGAATTGAAAGGTCAGCTGTTGCGCAAATACAGAGGATATTTGGGTAGCCTAAAGCAGGAATTTATGAAGAAAACAAAGAAGGGAAAGCTACCGAAAGAAGCCAGGCAACAACTGTTAGACTGGTGGAGCAGGCATTATAAATGGCCATATCCCTCGGTATGTATTGCATAATCTCATTGTCTCCATCAATTTCAGAATAAATCTACTTAGTCCATTATGAGAGCTTATAGCATTACTTGATAAAGTTTGGTCATCGTGATTTCTTTCTTGAAATTATAGCTACTGTTTGCCATTTGGTGTATTCATTGATGTGTATTATATTTTTGTTGGGGTGAAACAAAGCTGCTCTTAAGCTCATTAGTTGGGTCACTCAAAAGATGGTACTCGAATGTCATAAAAGGTTTAACTTGTCTTCACTAGATACCAATTGGTTTTCAGATGGGATGGTTCAAGTTCGATCTTAACAGTTTTTGAAAACAGGAAGCTTGTTTGGGAAGTGCTTATAAACAATTGAAATGATAAATCGATGAAGTGGTGGATAAGTGAGTAGTATTTGTGGGTCTCATTAAATGTGTGGATTCTGGAGACATTTTATAAACATTAACCATTACAATAGACTTGGATGATAGGCTCTGATTCTAGTTGTTACTCTTCTTCCAGTGCCGATTTCATTTGTTTACAAGGGTTTCCATGGGGCATTTCAACCTATGTGACTTAACTGCACTTTATCTTGCATTACTCTCTTTATCTTTATTACTAGTAAAGTTATTTCACATGCTAGTTTTCATTATTATCTATAATTTCTGAAAATGACGCTTTAATGGCGCATAATTATTGAACTTTGTGGTTCTAATTATTTCAATTGGTTTAACTGCAAGCAGGATTCCCAGAAACTGGCGCTTGCTGAATCGACTGGTCTGGACCAGAAGCAAATAAACAACTGGTTCATCAACCAAAGGAAACGACACTGGAAACCTTCAGAAGACATGCAGTTTGTTGCGATGGACGCAACACATCCACACTATTACATGGACAATACTTTTCCGATGGACATGTCCATGTGAGTACGCCTCTCTCTGAGAGTTGTATAATTTCGTCGGATGCAAACAAATTAATGTATGGGTAATGTTATATGTAGTTTTCATTTGCATACAACTTGTAAGCGTGTGAATGTCAGCTCGGGTGATATTAATTCAACCTTGACAAGGATCTGTCTGTCCTAATTGGCTGTTTTGAAGCAACCATGCTATTTGTAAAGCTTTTTTGGCAGATTCTTTCGTCGCGTGCAGTGGTGAACTCAGCACAAAAGTTCAGCACAGATGGACATTGATCATTGATTGTCATCAATCGGCGACCATAAGAACGAGATCGTTTATTAATATTTAATTAAATAATATTGAAAATAAAACTAAGCTTAAAATATTTTTTACTTACAAGTAAGTTTATTTAAGTAAAGAAGTAATTTTAAAATAAATATTTTTATAGACTAGTTGCCATATCTTAATACTCGTTTGGATTAATGAAAATCTTTAATTGCTCTCTTTGAAATAAAATAAAATAAAAGTTTAACAATATATTTTGCATGGAATGCGGATTAAACATGTGACATTTTAGACTTATTTTGAGAATAATACAAAGATTATTAGATTAATCATTAACTTGTTCAAATATATGAATTTCTCAAAAAAATATGCACAAAAATGTCTTGCAATTTTCTCTCTTTTATTTTTCACTGTTCAAACTGTTAACGTTTCTTAATCAATCCCAACATTCCTTCTGAGCCCAATTTTAAGGTGATCAAGAGTTCAATTTCATATTAAAAGAAGCCCCAACTATTTCAGTTCAAAATAAATGGGCCAAAACTGAAAAAAAAAAAAAAGAGAGAGCCCAGCTTACCTAAAACAATGTCTTCTTCCCCCGTCTTCTCTGATCTCTCTACGAAAGGACTACACAATGACTTGGCGACGCCTGTTGTATTGAAGACTTCGACAAATCCAGCACGGGCGGCTACGCCTCCTCGCCCGGTGTTGGGTCCGTCCCTGGTGGTGTGCATCTCAGCCTTTAATTTGAATTTCGTTTATTTAAATCAAGGATTAAGGAACATGTCACCTCAACATCTGTCAAAGTGCATGTCAATACATCCCTGTACAAGCAGTTTAATTCATTTTGAAGCGTATCATTCTGCATCTAACAGGCTTTGTTTCGTCTGGATGTATTTTCGTTTACTGGAAATTAAACAAACACATGATTTTTAACTTCCCAATATATAAATTGTTTTTAAAAGTTTTTTATTCAAAAATCAAATGATGATTTAACTTTTTAATATTAATAATTAATTAAATTAATGTACATACCCTCCCACTCCAATCCATCAACCATATTTCTCCACAAACCTTAAAATCATTTTCTCTCTATTATTTCCCTTCTATCTCTTCTTTTTTTTTATCACGTGAAAGACTAATGTTGAGAGATCACTGGAAGACCACTGCTCTGAGCATCATTGCATAGCAGCCCTCACACCATTGTGCGTGGTGCTGGGTAACGACATCATACCATTGAAAGACCATTGTTGTGAGTGAGGCTCACACCATTGTGCAACGGCAATGGTTTTGGGGGTGGATTATGGGGTGTTTATTTCTCCTTCGATCTGTTGGTTAGTCGAAGTCTTGGAATATTTTTGTTAGTGGTTGGTGGTTTGCAAATGATGGTGGTGGTGATGATACTAGGGCGATGGTGCAAGTGGTGGCGGCGGCGTGGCGATAGATTCGTACCTATGGTGAAATTAGGTGGGGGTAGGGGTACAATAAAGAGTGTGTGATAAGTTATTTGGGTGATTGTGATCAATACATTGGTTAATTTTGATCAATAAATAAAATGTGACCTAAAAAAAGAGATTGTGACTTACAATTTGTTAAGTTGTGATCAATTAATTTAATAATTTGTGATTCTGAAATAAATTGAGACATAATGACGTCGGACAAAATAGTGATTATTCTGCAAGCTGGAACCAAATAACAAATACAGATAAGAACGCAAGAGAAACGAGAAAATTCGTTGTTATTCAATAACTGAACGAAATAACCCACAAGTCGGGTTAAATAGTTAGAAAATATTAACTATCGAAATTTTGCCAAAAATAGCAAAATTCTATTATTCATACCAAAACGAAATACGTAATGAAAGGAAGAAGATCCCAAAAATTTGGTTAAATTTGATTTTCATTTGCATACAACTTGTAAGCATGTGAATGTCAGCTCGGGTGATATTAATTCAACCTTGACAAGGATCTGTCTGTCCTAATTGGCTGTTTTGAAGCAACCATGCTATTTGTAAAGTATTTTTGGCAGATTCTTTTGTGGCGTGCGGTGCCCGACTCAGCACAAAAGTTCAGCCTAGACGGACGTTGATTATTGATTGTCGACAATCAGTGACCATAAGAACGAGTGCGTTTATTCATTTAATTAAATAATATTGAAAATAAGACTAAGCTTAATATGTTTTTTACTTACAAGTAAGTTTATTGAAGTAAAAAAGTAATTTTAAAATAAATATTTTTTGTAGACTAGTTGCCATATCTTAATATTCGTTTGGATTAATGAAAATCTATAATTGCTCCCTTTGAACATCATGAAGAAGACAAGAAAATAAAATAAAATTTTGACAATATATTTTGCATGGAATGCGAATTTTAAACATGTGACATTTCAGACTTATTACAAGAATAATACAAAGATTATTAGATTAATCATTAACTTATTCGAATATATGAATTTCTAAAAAAAAGGAACACAAAAATATGTCTGTCATTTTCTCTCTTTTATTTTTCACTGCTCAAACTGTTAATGTTTCTTAATCAATTCCAACATTCCTTTTGAGCCCAATTTTAAGGTCATTATGAGTGCAATTTCATATTAAAAGAAGGGAAAATTAGGCCTAATACTCTAAAAATTGACCCAATTAGATTAATACCCTAAATTAATTAAACATCAAGTGAATCCCGTATTAATTACGCCCTAAACTAAAATCAAATCTACAAAACTCCAAAATCTCACTGCCTCACCTCTTTCTCTCTCTACCCACATCGCCCATTCTAGCAGCCATTTATGGCCTCTTTTTCCGGCAACGATCGACCACCCAAATCCGCGGACCTGCGTGTTGTAGGCATAACCGCTGCGGGTAAGAATCTCCGGGGATATATTCCGTCGGAGCTTGGCAGCTTGATTTATCTCCGGCGTCTTAATTTGCATGATAACGACTTTTATGGCTCCATTCCGAATCAACTCTTCAATGCTTCATCACTACATAGCATCTTTCTCTATGGTAATAGTCTCAACGGTTCTCTACCCCCCTCTACGTGCAACCTTCCTCTGCTCCAAAATCTTGACCTCTCGAAAAATTCCATATCCGGGCCACTCCCGAAGTTTCTGAGGAACTGTCGGCAATTGCAGAGGCTTATTCTCGCCGGAAATGATTTTTCCGGCGAGATTCCGGAGGGGGAACTTGCCAATTTGGAGCAGCTTGATCTCTCGGCAAATGAATTTAATGGTTCAATCCCAGTAGATATAGGAGAATTGAAGTCACTTTCAGAGACTTTGAATTTGTCATTCAATCATTTTACTGGGAAAATTCCAAAAACATTAGGTGATTTGCCACTTACTGTGAGTTTTGATCTTAGGAATAATAATTTAACAGGTGAAATTCCGCAAACAGGGTCGTTTGCTAATCAGGGTCCTACGGCATTTTTGAATAATTCGATGTTGTGCGGATTTCCATTACAAAGGACTTGTAAAATTAATTCAGAAAATACACCTCGGATTCAGAGTGATTCTGCTTATATTAATGTGTAAAGATTAGTGCTTTTTTTGGAAATTATGCGTGTTTGAATTTTTGATAATTGAATTGTTGTTTGTTTGTAAACAATGCTATTAGAACTGCAAGGAACTCAAAGTTAAATCCGGGATTTTGATGAAATATACGATTTGAGAAGGGAAATAGGAGGTCTTCGAATGTTTTCGATTTGTGTTTTGTCACTTTTTGGAATGTTTGTAGTTTTGTTTTAACTTTCGTCACTTTTCTGAACGTTTGTCACTTTTTTTTTAATTCATGTCACTTTTTCAGTATTTATCACTTTATCTATCACCTTTGTTTTTTTGTTGGTGATAAGAAGTTTTGGTGCTGACTTTTGTTCTTAAAGGAAAAATTCGACTCCATTTATTACAGAAGGAGGAAGCTCGTGAATTTCGTCAAAAGATTATCACTTTTTTTTTTAATTTGTGTCACTTTTTTATTAAATTTTCTTCACTTTTTTGAGTTTGTCACTTTTTTTTTTTTTTTTTGAATTTTGTCACTTTTTGAGTGTCACTTTTTTTTTATTGTTTGTCACTTTTTTTGAATTTTGTCACTTTTTTTTAATTTTGTCACATTTTAAGTTTTTGTGTCACTTTTTAAGAAGATAAAAAAAATGAAATAATATATTATATTTTTCTAACATAATCAGCATGTGGATTTGCCTGAATGTGGTAATTATTTTAAGAACATGATTAACGGTACAACACAAATGGATGACGTTATTTCGATATTTGTCACTTTTTTTTAATTTGTGTCACTTTTTTAAAAAAAGTGACAATTTTTATAAAAAAGTGACATTGTGTCACTTTTTTATTTTACACAGTATTTTTTACTTCCTAAAAACTTTTTACATGATTTTTCAAAACACCCCTAATTTTAAGGGTATTTTTGTAAGTACCCCTTAAAAGAAGCCCCAACTATCTCAATCCAAAATAAATGGGCCAAAATTGAAAAAAAAAAAAGGGCCCAGCTTACCTAAAACAATGTCTTCTTCTTCCCCCGTCTTCTCTGTTCTCTCTACGACGGGACTGCACAATGACCCGGCGGTGCCTGCTGTATTGAAGGCTTCGGTAGATTCAGCACGGGCGATCGCGCCCCCTCGTCGAGTGCTGGGTCCGTCCCTGGTGGTCTGCATCTTAGCCCTTAATTTGAATTTTGTTTATTTAAATCAAGGATTAAGGTACATGTCACCTCAACATCTGTCAAAGTGCATGTCAATACATCCCTTTACAAGTAGTTTAATTCATTTTGAAGCGTATCATTCTTCATCTAACAGGCTTTGTTTCGTCTGGATGTATTTTCGTTTACTGGAAATTAAACAAACACATGATTTTTAACTTCCTAATATATAAATTGTTTTTAAAAGTTTTTTATTCAAAAATCAAATGATGATTTAACTTTTTAATATTAAAAATTAAATTAAATTAATTTACATACCCTCCCACTCCAATCCATCAACCCTATTTCTCTCGCAAACCTTAAAATCATTCTCTCTATTCTTTCCCTTCTATCTCTTCTTTTTTTATCACATGAAAGACTAATGTTGAGAGATCACTGGAAGACCAGTGCTCTGAGCATCATTGCATAGCAGCTATCACACCATTGCGCGTGGTGCTGGGTAACGACATCATACCATCGGAAGACCATTGTTGTGGTGAGGCTCACACCGTTGTGCAACGGCGATGGTTTTGGGGGTGAATTATGGGGTGTTTTTTTCTCCTTCGATCCGTTGGTTAGTCGAAGTCTTGGAATATTTTTGTTAGTGATTGGTGGTTTGCAAATGATGGTGGTGGTGGTGATATTAAAGCAATGGTGCAAGTGGTGGTGGCGCTAGCGACGATGGTGAGGTGGTGGCGCGACGTTAGATTGGTACCTATGGTGAAATTGGGTGGGGGGTAGGGGTACAATAAAGAGTTTGTGATAAGTTATTTGGGTGATTGTGATCAATACATTGGTTAATTTTGATCAATAAATAAAATGTGACCTAAAAAAAAGAGATTGTGACTAAATTTGCAATTGTGACTTACAATGTGTTAAGTTGTGGTCAATTAATTTGATAATTTGTAATTGTGAAATTGAGACATAAAAATTGTGATTTGTGAACGAGAAATAATACGCGACCTATTAATTTGATAATTTGTGATCGATAAATAAATTGTGTCCACAAAATAAAATTTGATCAATTAATATGATAATTTGTGACAGATAAAATTTGTGATTTATGATCGTGACTAGTACGTATTTGTAATTATAAACTGTATAATATTGTAACTTTAATATATTTAATTAATAAAATATTTTTAATTATGACATGATTTTAAACTCTTAAACAAATTTTTTTTTTTAAATTTTGAAATTGTAAATTTCAAATCCCTATGTATTATTCATTTTGGTTTATTGTGCACAACATATTATGATATGAAAATGGGCCAGCTTGGACTGGGCCTATTTTCTATTATCTTATGGGAAATAAAAATAAATAAAAAATTAGTCATTTAAAGTACACTTAAATTTTTTATTCTCAAAATATTATTTACTACTATTATTTATTCTTTTTAAAATGCATTTCGTAACACTGTTTCTAATATTATGTAACACTCATCCCCTATTTCAATCACGTTCATCACTTGTGACACAGTATGTTGCATACATGTTGCAATCTATTTCCGTCGTCATTGCAATCGTCGTTGTTACCACCACTTATAATATTCAATTTTACACCATTAAATATTCATTTTCACGCTGCGATTGACTTGAACGATCACTTTGATGGCCTTCAATAAACACCGTTCCTTCCACCACCTTTCCTTATTTATAACCCGTTTGACACCCATTATTTAAAAAAATGAGTTTTTGAATAGTAATTGATGTAAAGAATGNGTTTTTGAATAGTGATTGATGTAAAGAATGTGTGGTTAAAAAGTAAGAAGAATTTTTGGGTTTATGTGTAATATTATTTTATTTGAAGAATGTGTGGTTAGAAATGAGTACTGTAGAAAAATGAGAATGAGAATAAGATAAAAAATGGGTGTCAAACAGGGGCTTATGTAACACAATAATTAATCACACTCGTCATGAATTATCACAAAAACAAAAACAAAATTGTACAAGAAAATTTGCAAATTTGATTCAGATCTGAAATCTAATTTTTTCTCGCCGTCGATGGTGGTTGTAGTGAATATGTCTTTAAACTTTGCCAAACATGCACTAGTACTGATATTGATTACCTTAACTATTTTCTTTTCTATTTGATATTTTAATAACATGGGTAAAAGAAACTCTGCTTAAATCATAGACAAAAATTTGAAGCAGCGACATACTATAAAATTTTTCCATTTTCCCCGTCGCGTTCTTACAAAAATCCTATGTTATAAGAATTAAATAAAAAATATATGTTTTCATAAAAAAAAAAAAAA